GGCCATCCTTTTCTTGGAGTCGAACATCTGCTGCGTGAGCTCGGGCACCGTCAGGGCCCGGTACTGCTGGCTGCCCCGGCTGGTCAGCGGGGCGAAGCCGGGCATGAAGAAGTGCAGGCGCGGGAAGGGCACCATGTTCACCGCCAGTTTGCGCAGATCTGCGTTCAGCTGGCCGGGGAAGCGCAGGCAGGTGGTAACCCCGCTCATGGTGGCAGACACCAGGTGATTGAGGTCTCCGTAGGTGGGGGTGGTCAGTTTCAAGGTGCGGAAGCAGATGTCGTACAGGGCCTCGTTGTCGATGGAGTAAGTTTCATCTGTGTTTTCCACCAGCTGGTGGACGGAGAGGGTGGCGTTGTAGGGCTCGACCACCGTGTCGGACACCTTGGGCGAGGGCATCACGCTGAAGGTGTTCATGATGCGGTCTGGGTACTCCTCCCGGATCTTGCTGATGAGCAGCGTGCCCATCCCAGACCCCGTGCCGCCCCCCAGCGAGTGGGTCAGCTGGAAGCCCTGCAGACAGTCACAGCTCTCTGACTCCTTCCTCACCACGTCCAGGACTGAGTCTACCAGTTCAGCTCCCTCTGTGTAGTGGCCTTTTGCCCAGTTGTTCCCGGCCCCGCTCTGGCCTGCCAGAGGGAAAGGAAAATATTAGACATAAAAGCATAAGGAATTCCAAATTCTGTCCTTTTGACTCTGGACTAGTCTTAGAGTTGCAGATTGTTTTCTTTCAGATCTTTTCTTACCTACAGAAAAATTTTCTATATCAGTAACCCTCACAAACACTGAATATCATAATATAATAAGAAAGTTTGTCTCAAATGAGGTCATTAACTGAACAAGAAGATGGTTTAACAAAACACAACTGGTTTTAAAATTAAGAACAGAGAACGCTGTGTAAATACTTAAATTATGTCCAATTAACAGGCAAAGGCACAATGTGATCAGAAGGGAACATGAGCTCTAAGCCCATGTCTCTATAGTCTACGGAGACATGTAGTCTCCATAGTCTCCGTAGTCTCTGTAATATGTCACCTCGATGACACTGCAATTTTTTTTCATTCAAACTAAGCAGTTGTCTCACTGCTGGTCATAACCTTTGCCTTTGGCATTTGCTTCTTGAAGTGGTGACCTGTTGTCACTGGTCCTCTGAAATTACCAGTAGCCTATTAACTCCTGTTTGAAGCTTTTTCATTACCCTGTTCTTTACCCTTCACAGGCTGCTCTCTAGTGGGAGAGCTACAGCAGTCTTGGAGGGCTACAGCAGCCTCAAAGGGCTACCTTTTAAGCTGTCCAGAAAGTCGTTACCTATGGAAATGGTGACATTAGGCCAGGACTCTGGACCATCTGTGGACATGCAGTGTCCGCCTTGGCATTCAGCACTAAGAACTGTGATTTACACAGTGTTCAGGAAGAAGACTCACTGAGCCAGTTCCCACTAATCATGACTACGTACCGAACACAAAGTTGTCTGGCCTGAAGATCTGGCCAAATGGTCCAGACCTGACCGAGTCCATGGTGCCGGGCTCCAGATCCACCAGGATGGCTCGTGGTACGTATTTGTTACCTGCGGGGAATAAGAGCTGGACTTAGACCTGCAGTTAGCAAACAAATCAGACACGGTAGTGTGCTACGCGCCTTTCACAGCACAATTCATTAGCGAAAATTCCAGTCTGTGAGACAAAGTAAGAGAATAGGGGAGCTTTTCTGTTTTCAAAAGGGGATAATGAGCATGCTTAGTCATGGCACACATGCAAGAGGCTTAAGGAACTATAAAATGTATTTTTGAGCAGTTGAATTTTAAAATGAATGTAAGAAGCATTTATTTGTCCTTGTATGTTCCTAGTACATCACATCTGCCACAGTATGGCAAGCAAGATTGATTGGAAAGCAAAAAAAAAAAAAAATTCAAATAATCACCAGCAGCTTCATTGTAGTACACGTTGATTCTCTCCAGCTGCAAGTCACTGTCTCCATGGTAACTGCCAGTGGGGTCGATCCCATGCTCATCACTGATGACCTCCCAAAACTGGAAATTTAAAAAAAAATTGCACGTGATATCCTGGCATTCTAAATATCAGTAAGGATGGCCCTTTTCTTCTTCTCATGTCCTTGGAACAGCGGCCATTGTGGTCAGACAATTAAGGAGTCCTAAGCAGACCGGATAGCTGTGTGCTCTATTCCTCCAGCAGCTGCTGCTGAGGGTGTTTGGATAACCGCAGAGCATCGGGCATATTATGGCAATAGGTTGAAAAGCTGGGAGGGGCACCAAAGGAGGAGGGTGGGCACAGCAGATCTCCTGGGCAAGCCGAGGATACTGGGGCAGCTGTCACCCCCAGGCAGGGCTGATGTTGCAGCATCTCAGCTGATGGATGGGTCCTGGCAGGACGTAGGACCAGTTGGATCCCACCCTGCTGTTGCCTTAAGAATCGGTGTCTCCTGGCTCAAAGCCCACCCAGCCCTCCAAGCAGTGCAGTTTTATGCCACTGGCATCCATACTGGCCTCTGGCCACTGAGCGCAGCAGGAGATGGGTGGGGAAGGGCAGGCAGGAGCCTGGGAGCATGACTGGGGCAGTGAATGGAGCTGGCCTTGATGAGGGCACAGGCTCCATTGTGAATTTGCAGCAGGAAAGGGGGTGGGGAGGTTGGGGTGGGCAATATGGCGGTTCTGACAGAGACCACGTCCTTGTTCGGATGCCTGCCCACACCCCTGCACCATGCCCGCTCCTGCCTCGCCCATTGCGGTGGGTAATTGCAGCCCCGATACTGTCACCTGCCGCCTGGCAGACAGGAAGCCAGACTGGCATTTATATTATCCTGTCTAGATGATGCTCATATTAGAAAAATTATCTAACATCTTCATATTTGTCCCCAAGGAGCAGTCTCTATAACATGTCACCTCGATGACACTGCATTTTTTTTTTTCATTCAAACTATACACAAAAATATCCAAATTAAATTCCACATGAGGCCACTGGATTAAGACGACCGCGGTCTTTACCCAAATTTTAGAGACTTGTATACCCAGCTAAATGCCAACTACATGCTGCAGTAGGACCGGTTTCGAGGAAATTTCAAAGGGCCTTGATTAAAAGCACATACAGCTGCGTCGCTGCAAGCATCGTGGCAGGTTCTGTGATTTCCCGGGCCCCGCCGAAGCCGCGCCGAGAATGCGCCACCTCGGCGGGCGAGCGAGCAGGCGAGCGGCGACTGCCACCTCCTCCCCTCCTCTCACCCCCAGGCCCGGCCTCGGCTCGCGCCCTCGGGACCCGCTGCCCGCCCCCGGCCCGGGCCCTTACCTTCGGGGCCCGCTACCCTTTCCCGGCCCCTCCCCAGGGGTGCGCCCACCTTGGCGCCGATCTGGTTGCCGCACTGGCCCGCCTGGATGTGCACGATCTCGCGCATGGTGCCGGCTGCAGAGCGGGTGGAGGCGCTGGCCCTCGGAACTGTGCGCACAGAGAGGACCTGCAGATTCCGAGCACAGAGACCTGTCGCCGCCCCTGAGCTCGGTCTTTTATACCGACAGAGTCGCATAGCCAGCAGTGACGTAATGGCGGGCGGAGCTGAGCGGGGCGGCGCGCTGGGGACTGCGGCACCACAAGGGGGAGCTGGGGCGCGGTGCGAGGTGCGGGGGTGCTCTAGCCAGTAGCCGCGACCGCTGCGTCTGCGTAAGGCTCCCAGCCCCGGCATCCGGCTGCCTCCGACCCACG